CTGTCTCCCTGCTACAAAATAGGTGTGATTTTCAGTGGCAGTAAAAATGACCATCGCCAAGAGAGAGACATTTAAAATCCATATGGACATCCACTTTCCTATATCCTGAGCTTCACTTCATTTTGTAATGCTGGAAGCCATGCCAAATGCTCAGTCTGTTGTTTTATTCAGAAGGATTCTTCTCCTGAACACAGAATTGGTTTCTGTTTCGTAACCCTCCACATTGATATTTTATTGCCATGAATTATTCGTGATTACTAAGTGTGGATCACAGTGTCTAGAGACTTTTGATATCTGATCTGCATTCTCATTTGATTCTCAACAGCACTGTTCTCAATTTATTAAAAAATATTCATTCTATTTTCTATTTTATTTGGAGTTCCAGGAAATCAAGTGAATTTTCTACCATTTCCTGGTAGGCGAGTTTATATTTGCTATATAATTTGGGGCAACTACAGGACTCACAGTCCTACCCAATCTAATGTGCATTTTTCTGGTGTCTTCCTGGAAAATCAAGGCACAATCTGAAACATAAATTATTTCGTTTCCATTTTTCACTGCCATTTACAGCAATCTCGCTCACTTTTCACTTCACATTCCCTCACATGTATTTACTTTTCAACACAAACCACTATTTCGCTTGAGCACAACTTCAGTATTTGACCCTTAGTGTCTGCAAGAGCAGCAGTGATGCCTAGAACAGATGCAGTGCTTGAGTGCTTCCCTAGCTTAGTTGAGGCAACAGTACAGAGAGTTTGACTGCATGACTATGCTTAAAGAAGGAAGGACAAAGGGAAGTCTGTCCAGCACAATCAAGAAGAAAATCTGCAGAATCATCATCACAACCATCCTGCAAACTTTTATTTCTCACTAATCACATCTGGCTTGATCCAAAGGCCATTGTGTTTTGGATTTGGACCAACATGCAGATGCCTTTGCCTGTCCATATCCCATGTAGAGTAAAAAATTGGCTCTCTTTATTGGCAGAGGATTTAGCAATAGGAAGATGTTCACTCCAAACCTTTTCTTCATGAGCGGCAGCTCGCAGTTCCTAATTCTCCAGGGCTCAACACTGACCCTACATCCTCTTGCTTCGACTACAGATCATCAGGCTTTCCATTGGCATGATGCTAAACAAGCAACTTGCATGAATAAGACACCAACCTGCTGAAGCAAGACATCAAAAGAGAGGTTCTTCCCTTTGCTTTGATAGCCATATTCTGAATAATCATTGTGGCAGTACTGGGAAGGTCATAGATGGCTCTGTAGCCCATCGTGCCAAAACGTGAAGAGTAGATAATTTTTATTTCATTATGCTCTTGTTCTGCACAGACTTCAATATTGTCAGAATGCTGTATGAACTTTAACCAATTAATGAAACATGAACTGCTTATTAGGTGACCCAAAAGTTCTCTCCCCTACAATCTGTGAATAACAAATGAAAATCAACGCGCTGCCGGTAAATGCATATGCATGAAATCTTTTAAGACATCATGGCGAAAACAGCTAATAATAAACCTCGCAGCATTCCTGAGAAAGTAAAACAAGAAGGGAAAACCAGCCAGCAAAAACAACACGTTCTGCAAAACACTGCCTAGGCAAGTTAGCGTCAGCAAAATGATCAATAGGTCACCATTATGTATGATATTTACATCTGATCTGCATTACTGCATTGCTAGGCTGAAATGCCCAACGAGGCTCAGATCAGCTAGCACTTTCTTCATTAAAATCTGCCTTCATATAAAATTCACCTTGATTTATGAGCCTGCTTTCAGAGCTGTGCATTTGAATGCAACATTGCCAAACCTTCTACTGTGTTCACCTGCTGGTTGGAGAGCAGAGATATTTCAAGATGAAAATAAACTAAAGATGGCTGCAGAAGGCTGAGTATTATCAAAGAATGCGAATAATAGGCTTTTGCATATGCTCAGCCTTCTGCTACCATCACATCCCTGTGTATCATCATTTTTTGTTACTGAAAAACAGCCTGCATGCTATGTTTTTCCTTAATCACGGGTGCATTAACTTCTCCATGCACACACACACACACACACACACACACATGCAAAAGCCTACAGTTCTTTTGCTTTCACCAACTAAAAATGTTTGGGGATTTTTATTTATTTATTTGCATCTGCTGTGTATACTTATTTGGCTTTAGAATCTGGAATTTCAGGCGTTTTCACTTCCTTTCATAAGTACACACTTGAAATTCAGATGGGCTCATACACATGCTCAGTCCAACTCCCATTTTCCAGGAGGTAAATTTTAGCTCCTTCATCACCTGAATGTTAATTGTGAAGCATCACAATAAAACCACACGTTTCTTGAAGGCATGAAAAAATTCCCTCCTGACCCTAAGAAAACTCTGCCAGTTATTCCTAAAAATAAAGCTGGCTAATAATAAGTTCTGTAATTACACAGCACAGAGCACACAGAACCTTCCACTTACTACACTAACACTATGTTCTTCTAGGCAACGCTGAGGAGTGGTGAATTTGTATTATTAAATAAGGAATTTTCAGGCAAGACTTTAAGGAAGGAGGGCCAATAGAGAAGATAACACAAGGACATATTTTACACGAACAGAGAAAAGGGGCTCCACTTCATAAATAAATCTTACTTCTTCCAAAAATCTACTTGCCTTGTCCACCATTCTGAATACGACTCTGCAAGTAGCCCTTTGCACCTAAACATAGATTTTGCCTGTCACATGACTGCAGGTTGATGCACCTGAACTGTTTCACCTGCTAATGTTCTGTAAATAAGCCTCATTTGGTGTGTCTTTCAGTATGCCCAAGTCTTTTCTCCTCAAGCCTAACTCATACAGTCCCAGCTGCCTAATGCCTTCCTCTAAATAAACTAGATTTTCAAAGCTTGATCTAGCGCCTATGCACTTCGTGTCCATCGAAAGAAGACTCTAGCAGCTGCTCACTGTTGCTACACATTAGATCAAGTATTCAGAGATGGATCTATCAAGGAGGTCAACTCCCTCCTGATACTTCATTAATTAATCTGCTGCTATTTTAAACTTTGCTCAGCTTTGTTATTACTTCTACTCCGCTGCACCACTTTGCACAGACATATTGCTTTTCAGAATCCATTTACCCAATCAATCACGATCATTCTGGGAACAATCTCATTCGCTTCTAAATTTTAACTATTCTTTCTACTTCAGCATGATCTGATGGAATAAGATAGTATAAATTATGAAGAAAATGTTAATATAAAGCCAATCCTGCAATGACACAATTCCTAGAAAAAAAAACACACAAAAAAAAACAAATAACAAACCACCCGTCTTTTGCCTTCATTGTTTGCTATGCAAGGAATAAGGTGACACCCTTTCTCACCTTCATTCCTGGAAGACTTTCTCACTTGGATCTTCCTATTAACTTTGTCACAACTCCTCATGTAACTGAAAGTTTTACTGTCATAGTTTGAAGTTTCTAGGATCAGGTCCCAGTTCTTTACCTGTCTTAATAATTTATTACCTAACCCATGTATACAGAGCGTGTAGAATAATACATCCTGTGAAACCTTGTTAAAAGCCTCTGAAAATCCCAATATGTCTGCTGCTTTCCTCACGTCTAGATCAATATTTATTTAATTTAAAAAAGGAATCCAATTTGCCTGACATGATTTACTTTCCACAAATCTATGCTGACTCGCATTACGATGCTGCATCCTTATTAAACTGTATGCAACTGTAGCCTTATAATACTAGAAAATGTATTTTCAATACCATTTGTAGGCAGCAGGATCCTCTGAGGGCTTACAATGCCCAACACAAGGAATTCAGTGGATCCTTATTGCCCAGCTGGTCTTTTATTTTCTAGCTCATACTGTTTTCCCTTAAAATGCCAGAACAACACTGACTCTTTTCAAATGACTTGATACAAGCTCTTAATTCTGATGCGTATTCACGTATTCACATTGCAAATCATGGTCATATATCAGCAGTCCTCTTGTGCCCAGAGTTATAAAGTCCCTATGTTGAAACAACCCCAACACCCAGGGTGTTCAGCCTGTGGCAATGGTCCCACAGCCGATCACAGTGTTGGGTCTCAGTCAGAAGCCAGGCCAGATCAACAGAAACAGACAATCATAATGTCAACAGCACATAGCTTTACGAAGGAATAAGCAGCTGGAGGATTTATTGCTGCTTTGTATTCACATCCCAAACAATGCTCTGCGCTGTTCAATTCACCTTAGGCAGGCTGTTCTCCCCACAGTGACACAAAAGCATTGCGCCCATCCCACTGCTCAGCTCTCTGATCTCACATTTCACCTGCAGACCAATCCTCATACAGAGTGCTGTGCTACTATTTCAGCATCTCGTCTCCTGCACCTTTAGTCCTGTCTTCTCAGATAACAGGTGATATTCACCTTAGCAAGCAGATGTCCCGACAGAATACATCTCTTCAATATTCTCCTAAGGCTTCAGCACGCAAGTCTACAGCTATCATTAAATTTCTGCATGGTTGCCTGGGGATAAATCCTGTCCAGTCCTGATAGAGGGGGCAGAACTCTCTTTGCTTTCTCATTTTCTCCACTTTTGCAGTTCACAAAGCATTTCCAGAATCTCATCCTACCAATAAGCATTTTCCCAGCTATTTGTCAATGAAGTTTCAGTTTTTATTCTTCCTCCCCTCCGTTTCCTCTTTACCACGCGCTAACAAAGCAGTGAACTGAGCTCTTACTGATTTCTTAGAGGACAATTTGTATATGTACAACAGTCAGAATGGCCTGGAGTATGTTGGTATGTACTTGCCAGACTGGCATTCATCAGGACTGTGAAACAGAACAAAATCTCATTGCAGTAATGAGACTTTTTAACCCCTTTGTGACAGTATGGCTAAATGCCCCTTCAGCACCACATACAATGCCAACAGCTGGGTGCAGAAAACACCAACCTACCCAATTCAAACCACGACACAAACACAGAATTGTTCAGGCAGTATCAAGCTGTTTGTGGCATTTCCCATCAAGTACCCTACCTTGAACTCCATGGGGGTGTACTTCTCATTCTTGGGGGTTGTGTTGCCCTTGTAATGAAGATGGTTGGGAGTGGTTGGGTGGATGACGGTCGACTCCTGGGACTGCCTCTGACAGCGCTGGCAGTACACGTAAATCACAAATGTTAAGAGGCTAGAGCCAAAGAAGCAGGAGACCCCAGTGGCAATCAGATGGATGAGACTAAAACCTGCAAGGGAAATGACAGGAGACACTATTTTTAAAGAACAGCCTTTTTCCCTCTCCCGACAAGACCACAGGTGCAAATCGCAGCCGTGACATCTCAGGATCAACTTTAATAAGCTGTTGAAGCCTGAGTCTTATGTTCCAACATAAACTGACATAATCTCCCCGAAAATCAGTCTCCCCACTGCAGCTCTGCCTTGCGCAGTTTAACAATTTCATGCATTGATTTCTCAAAGCTCCCACCCTGTCTCTCCTCTCTCCCCTCTATTGATATTGAATCTAAACATTATGTTAAGCTGACAGCTAAAGAAATGAGCCATACAAACAATGCGCAGTAACGGATTCCAAAGTGTGTGTGTGTCATGGAAATAAGGGGATAAAAATCCTCAGTGTATCTCTGAAGGGGAAGGGAAGGAGGGGGAACCCCTCTCTGTCAGCTGCCCGAAACGTCTATGAGACTGTGTGTGGGGTGAGTGAGACACACAGTCCATCCTGTGTAATCCTAGCATAGTCAGCGTTCTTGCTTATTCACAGGGGAGTGCTGCCTGGCCACCTCTGCACTACCTCTGAGGAGTATTTGTACGGCTCCGAGAGAATGAGAATCATGTGGAGGAAAAAGGAAAGGGGGTAACTGCTTGAAAAAAACCTGCTTTGTTGGCTTCCTCCACAAAGATAGGAAGGCAGTTGCAGGCAGCTGTCGGTGCGGTAGCAACAGTGTGAATTTTTCCAAAGGAAAAGCTCCTAACCCAAAGCCTCCTGCAGAGATCTCTCCACAGGGAGAGCATCCTCCGAGCCCTAGGAAGAAGCTGTAGCTACCAGGAGTGCCCTGCGCACTGGGCATACCTGACTCCCAGCTCTGGCTGGTGGGAGAAGAATATTAAGAGTATTCCTTGCTCTGCTCTCCCTTTGGGGAGTGTCAAACCCCACCGTAAGAGGAACTGCCATAAGATCCCCACCAACACCAGAACAAACATTAGAGATCCTTACAGCCACAAAGTTAACGAAGCAACCAGAGACATTCTTGTGTAGCAATAATTTGCGACCCTTCTGTCTTTTGCTGTGTTGCACCGGGGAATCTACAGAATAAGAATCAGCAAGGATGGCCCCAGATGTTACCGTATTCTAATGCTTTTTCTTAATCTTTCAAGCAAGAATGACAGGGACAAATGCCTGGGAAGGATTTCTTCCTTCCGACTGCTTGCCCCCTCAGGACAGCTCTCCCGGAGGATGGCCACACTGGCTCAGTGGGGACTGCAGTGGTAAAATTCTCGTACTACTTAAAAAGCCAATTCATTTGGGCAGACTGCTGTGTTGACTTAAATGTGTGCAGAGAAATGGAAGGGACTACTCTGAAAGTGGCTTTAAATGAGGTTCATTCTTAATCTGATCACGGTGTGCATTTTTTGGTGCCATCTTATATTTTAACCGATATGCTTTTCAAATACAGAATTCTGCCCATTAGTCTGCTGCACTCCTCTAATCTTTAGTTAAAGAATATCCTCCCGAGTTTAAAAAGAACCAAACCAATAGAGTCCTACAGCAAAGTAAAGCACTTCAATCATAATTATAGTAAGGAACATACAGAATATATTAGACTGACAAGCTACATTTATTTTTCAAACCACACTATAAAATTCTATTGCAAGATTACCACTTTCTATTGTGTTCTCATGACGGTCCAAAAATGGCAGAAAGACAGCAATTTCCTACTGAATATTGTTAAGATATTTACAAAAAGACATCTCCTTTCTAAAAAATCTCAGCCTACTTTACCTCACTCATGAGAGCTAAAACACAGATATGTAACTTCATTTAGTGAAGCTACATGATACCACTTCATTCTCCTTCCATCCAGCTTTGCTTATATTGCACTGAATGTCTCAGTACATTTCCCAATTCACTTCAGTAGGAAATCCTTCTTAAAACACAGAATCATAGAAATGTGCTCCTACATTCCACTCTCTCCTTTCAAAGAACCATCTGATTTATCAGGTGAGTTTTAGCAGTACCTGAGACAAAAATTATTTTGTCTGCAGTATGCAAATCCCTGTGGGAAAGTTTTCTGGTTCCTCACTTGGAAAATACAGATTTTCTGAGATGCATCAACACATTTTCTGTTGATTGGCTTTCTTGCCAAATACAATAGAATGCTAAGTAATAAATGATATTAGCAATGGTAAAATGTAACAGCAGCAAGTATAATGCTATTAAAAAAGAAGGAAATGTGAATAGAGAGCATAAGGGCAGAATGCAACCCATAGAGAGGAGTCCTGGAACTGAAGCAGATATATTGCACTTTCTGGAAGGGAAGGACTGATGCAGAAAACCAACTGTTATACTGTAGGTGTTGAAATCTTATTTACATTGATTGGAAATCAATTGATTGTCCAACAGTCATAAACACAGTGGCTGCATTTCCATTCCACAGGTGGCATGCCTTTTTTTTTTCTTTTTTTTTTTTCCATCATCTCCACAGGGAGAAAACATTTTAGCAGCCCGCAGATCATTTAGATTTCAGGAAATCAGGGGTGTGGTGCTAGCAGGATTTGAGATGGTCATTAGTGTGAAACTAGCATTTCAAAACACTGAAAGCACCTGTCATTTTCTTTAGTCTGAATTTTTATCACAGTGGCTGATGGGGCAGTGGAAGAGTGAGACTAATGACTGGATCTTTCCTAGTTACGTGCAGAAAGGAGACAACTTCTCTGAGGTGAGGACTTCAGTGAAAAGAACTTGGAGGACAACTACTAACTCAAATCTAGTCCTATATCAGAAAAGGAACTAAGAGACTTTGTTCAGCGAACTCTTTACAGGTTACTTAAAAACACCTGCCTCCAAACGGCGGGAGGCTTACAGTGGTGAAATGAGGACTGTGCCTTCCTTTCTCTTGAACCTTTTATCCTGTGGGTAGAGACAGACAAGTAATGTGCTCCCTGGTAATAAATGACCTTGGTGGCCAAGCCAAACCCCCAAGTAGACAAAAATCTTGGAACTGACAAGAGGCCTGTGTGATACATTCCTGCAGTCTGACTCAGACAGCAAGACTCCAGTGGAATTAAGGCTATCACTGGGATGTGAGCTGTATAGATTAATGGTTTGCTTGATACTGCACAGGGAGAATAGAAGCCAGGTTAAGACAAAAATAAGATATATGGTTAGTGGTATCCTACCTCCACAGTTTGTGCTCTCATCAATGCTGGATGCTGGCAGGATCACTAAACAAAGAGAAGAAGATCGGAGAAAGTTGTCATTTTGCCACCACTTTACTTCTTTAAGTAATTAAACCCCCCTGTGATTCAGGCACAAGAAGCTGCTCATGTGTTCTGCAGCAAGCTGAGAGTCTCTCTAAATTGAATGAAAAGCTCAGACTGTGAACCACATGAAACAAAACCTCTCCAAAGACCTGGCAATTACAGTACAGTTACCTGATCGCTATTTAGCTTCTTCAGTTTATGGGGAAGAAGACAGCTAAGAAAATCATGGAAAAAGAGACTACAACCGTCTGGGGATCTCAAATTTTTAAGCCAGGTCATTATAGTCCAGAAAAGAACACTTGGAAGATGTTATTCACGCTAGACCAATATTAAATATTTTCCTGAGAGATTCAGTTTCCACAAAAAACAGAATGGAAAATGATGATTGCCATCTGTCCATCAGTTATGCTGCTGTTAGACCTTTGATTATTCTCCCCACATCACATAGTGGTTGTCTCCATCTGCCCGCTTGCTTCTTCGTGATTTTAGGATGCTTCCTTTCATAACTGAATTCAAGGATCTTCTTTTGCCTGCTCCATGCTGAGAATAAAGCTCATTTTTATAACCCAGCCCTAGATGAAGGGCTATGCAAAGTTAAAAGGTTCAATTTGGGTGAAGCAGTACTAGTTATTCATTCCAGATCTAGGTAATTCTATATTAAGAGAGCTGAGATGCCCCAAAGGAATGTCAGTTATCCTGTACCTTCAACAAGGGAATTGATAACTTATTTGTTAATTTTTTGCTTTACTAGAAGCATCCATACCCTTTCATAGCAGAGAAAATCTCACCCTAGTTTGACGCCTGGTCATGAGCTTCTCTCCTACATTGACCCACCCTCTCCGTCTTCAGTGCCATGGTACATACCAGGAATTTCATTATACAGGCAATCTTGGTATTGTGTGCTGTTTCCAATGCACTGAGAAGAGTCTGGGCTGTGTACCTCGCAGTAACGGCTGCGATACTGGATGCCCTCTTCATTACACAGGCTCCACTCTGACCACTCTGACCAGCCACCTTAAATGCAAATCAAGAAAATGCACAGACAACATCACCAAGAAGGAAAAGGATCCCTTGTGGAAACCAAACTTCTCCCATGCTAGAGAGCATTCAGATCCTCACCTGGGCCTCTCCCACACATCCAATCTGGGGGCCTTCCGCAAGTTTAATCATCATGATATAAATAACAGTGCAAGCATCATAATCTACTTGTCAGATTGTAATTTTCTTAATACAGAGTAAATGAACCTTTGCTGGAGCACTGCACAGTGCAGAATTGGTTTTAAAACTCCTATATCAGCTTTGTGGTTAAAGACATACAAGCATTTGGATGGGACAGTTTTGTACAGGACTTCCAAATTTGATGTAGTCTCTCAAGGATACCCCAAGCAGCCAGCACAAATTACAGTGCTTACAAAGCTTTACTAAGGTTGCTAAGAGGAGGAATCAGTCTGCACTGGATCAGAAATACACAAAAGTGGTTCAAAGTCAGCACAGATGTGAACTTTGTCCTCTGAGCTGTAGCACACATTCATCTGCCAGTCTGTGTAAGACAGAAAAAGGATCTCCCCTTCAGCAACAGTACAGATTGATGCTTCATGACTCCTTTTGTTTGTCTTGAAAGCTTCCACATTCAAGAACCAAAGTCTTGCTTTTTCAATTACTTTAAATTGATCGTCTGTTAACAAGATTTTCTCTGGCTAGCACCAGAATGCCAGAGCGTGGTCTGGTGAGCAAGTAAAAAGAAAGGTGATGAAGCATTTGATTTGAACACTAGGATGTCTGCTTTTTCCCTGGTTCAGTATACATTTACTGAATGGACACTAAAGCTACTAACTGATGGTGTTCCTGGCTTATTTTTATGACATGCTGCAGATGCACCCTGCTCTCATCAGCACCCTAATCAGCTGAAGCAGGAACCCAAAGTGGCTACCTTCACACGGGTGGGTGTTGCAGAGAGCCTCCTCAGTGTGCAGCCCGATGCAGATATCCTCTCCACTAGATGGAGCTGGGTTGGTGCAAGTCCGTGTGCGCTGGTAGTGCCCTCCTCCACAAGTTGCCGAGCACTGAGACCAAGGAGTCCAGCAAGACCAAGAGCCTTTTACTGAGGATATGGAAAAGCAAGGAGAAAGAGGTACATGCAAGTGATTACTACTCTCACTGTGACACAGAATCCCAGTATCTCACCTAGATCTACCCTGCCCAGACTAGCTGGCACTTTCTTGTACCCCAGGACATTTGGGCTTCGTGTCAAGAGAGGGTTGAAATGTGCTGCACTCTGTGGATGCTAAATGAAGTCCATGCACAGAAAGACTGCATCATAAACGACCGTAGCAGAAACTATTCTGTAGGGTGACTGTCTTATTTTTATGCAACTTTTTATAAAATATCCTTATTACATTGTCTTTTGACACTTCACCTATAGTAACAGCACATTTACTTGGAAAAAAAAGTCATACAACCTAAGTGGAGCTTATATCTTTCTTCTCAGGGTCCCAAGTCTTTCAGTCCCAGACTTCAGAAAACCTCAGAGGCTTTATGTGAGCACAGTCCCAAAACACTTTATTAATAAAGCCAGGGTGGGAATTAAGAACTCTGGGTCCCAACCCCTCTTGTCAGGCTACTAGACTACCTGATTTTCAGGTCCCCATGCCACTATTTTAGGAGATAACAACCTCGTGACTTAGTGCAAGATAAACCTAGGATTTGTGTATACATATTGAGTGAGGCAGGAACGAAGGGAGACATATAGAAATAGCAATCATGCACTCAGAACAGATTGTAAAACATCATAGTGTCTAAAGGGAGAAAACAGCACAGGAGAAGGGCACAGACATTGGTGAAAAGCCACTGAGAGTTTCCAAAATAGTACTAATAGCTGCCTTTATAGTGCTAGAGTTATTTTCTTTTTATAGGCCACAGAGTGCAATATTAGACACTCCTGCTATGCTCTTACTATGCATTCTGATCATGTTTTCCTATCTGCATTGGCACTTTATCTTTGCATTGAATTTTAATATCATAATAATACCATAATAATGCAGCAATTTCAACTGTAGGCCACAAACTATATTGCCAGAGGTAGACAGAGCTACTGCTAGAAATTGCTAAAACTACAAAAAGACATGGTGATTTGTTTAAGATCATTTAAATTTAGCTTAGATAGCTATTACAGAGCAAGGAGAACGATAAGAGAGATAGTATGGTAGTCAATAGTCTATTATTACTATTCTGGACAAGGAGTGCAACATAAACATGAGGACAAACTTGAAAACCAGGAAACCAGGCAAGAATACTCCCTGCTGTCTGTGCAGGAAATGGTAACTGATGTCAAGAGTAGATGCCCATCGCAAGAACAATACGTAAGCAGGAGAGGGGGAAGAAACAAGTGTTCACAAGAAGAACTGCCACATCAAGCATCTCTACAGCATTAAGTCACATTCATTAAGCCCGTCTCCTCACCGAAGTGCAGATGTACCATGATGCTCTCCACTGGATGGAGCATCAAACCTACCTCAAGCAAAACACTACTAAATAAGCCACCATACTGTTTCATTTAGAGGTTGTGGCTGTGTTTCCCTCTTAGTGTAGGTGAAACATAGGTCACAGCACCAAAGTGTGTGGATTGGATTGCATATATGAGTCATTACAATAGTTTTGGTTTTGTTCTGTTGTGTTTTTTTTTGTTTTTTTTTTTTTTGTTTTTTAATTAAGGAAAATCCCCCAAATTAAAGAAAATTAAAAAAATGAAAGCACCTTGGAAATACTGATTTTTGGTGTCTCTGCCATTAAGATGAAGAAGAATACCTCTGAATTTCATGCAGGAAGATAATCGTGGTTACCTGGGCAAGGATGTGGGTTGCAGTCTTGGTACTCCATCGCTGACCCCACGCAAGGCAAGCCACCATTTTTAGGTTCAGGGTTTGTGCATGTTCTTTTCCGGATTCTAAAGCCCAACTCACAGTCCCTGGAACAGGAAGACCAGGCCCCCCAAAAGGACCAGCCCCCATTGATAATCCGTGCAGAGGTCTTACCAGTCTTGAGGAGGTCGTCAACAAGAGCTTCAAAGGAAAAAAAACAAGACATCACAAATCAATCAGTTGTTTTTTTTTTTTAAAAAAAAAGTCTTCAGTTCTTGAATAAAATCAGGATTTACACATTCTGGGGATGAGTTTCTGTTGAAAGTCCTTAGTAAGAGTTCTGTTCTATAGTGTTACAGCAAAGTTAGAAGGAAGTGAAATGTGTCACATACAAAACGAATCTAGTGATAATCTTGATAAACGAACTTTCTGGGCAGCAAATTGTGGCAATCTGGGCTGTGCTGTCAGGACACTGACTTGCACTACAACAGTAGTGAAGGGAATAACCCTGGAGGCAGTGCACAGAGGGACCTTCAGAGAGAAAGAAGAGTGAAGACAAACTATCCCACAGAATCTATTTCAAACTATCCCACTATCCCATCTCTTCTTACATCCTCATCATTTGCCCATTCTCATTAGGGCAGCCTGGAAGTACCAAGAATAACTCTATATGCTACCATAACAGGGCTGCACTGACTTCTACATCACAGGGCTCTCTCCATCCCTGCCATTCTGCAGTGATGCTAGTCATACATTTATGACTAGATAAATCAAAATTTATGTAGATACAATCAGGTTCTTGCTGTTCTGAGAGAATTCCCCCTTCCACCAGCAAACCTAAGCTTGTCCCATAGTTCCCCAGAACTGGCAAGACATACAGTCAGTTTCACACATAGCTGAGCCATCATTGGGACAGAATCGACTCTCAGTTTTCTTTCTCCCAAACTGCAGCTCATGGGGATCAGACAGCTGGGCACGACACGTGTAGCGGAAGCGCTGCTCCTGGCGGGCACCATTCTGGGTGATGTTGACAGGCATCCAAGGGGTCCAGGGTGTGTTCCTACGTACTTCTGGGCAGCTCTCTGGGTTGCAGGTCTTATATTCCTGCAAGGAATGAAAACCACTGTGACCTTCCTTATCGAAGAGCAGCAGACTAAGTGACACAAATTTGTTTGCATCCTAAAAAACAACGGGGTGCCTTTGTATCAAAAAAATCTTCTATTCACCTTCTCTGACCTCACAGATACAAGATAGTGCTGGGTACAGCAGAAAACATGGGCACTATGGAGGCAGTGGTGGTACATAGCCTCAGGTGGACTTCAAGGATGAACTGTGTTTACTATTCTTATATCTCCCTCAGGTTTGTATTTCTTTGCTGACTCAGAGTCCTGTGGGGCTTAGAATGCATGGTACGTAATGGGCAGGAAAATAATACAAGCAATGCATAAAAGTAACAACAAACTACTTTTCTGCTATGACTCTGAGATGCTGCTCTCAGGTGATCCTAGGAGAGCCCCATGAGGACAAAATATCAGTAAAGATCATTCCTTGAAAAGTTTGCTGTTTTGTTTCTAAGACACTTTTAGATAATCTTTTTTTATTGCTTTTTGTTGTTGTTTGGTTGGCTTTTCAAACTCCCTAGTGGAGACCTTTTGCCATTCTTGGTGTAAAGATGAGCATCTATTGAGTATAGCCAACACTCTTGCTGGGTGGGGATGGAATGATACGGGGTCTTTACAATTCTTACCACCAGCAGGAGGAATTCCAGTGGAAGACATTGAGTTCTTGTCTAAAAATAAATAAATAAACCCTACTATTCTGGCAGAAGGAGAGAAATGTAATTCTTTAGGACTTTATGATTCTAGAGTAAATGCCAAACAGCTTGTGAACAGATGGGAGGTTCCAGATCAGATCTGCTTACACTGAAAGAAAACTGCCCATAAAACTAATTAAAACAGCTGCATGGAACAGCTGCCAGAATAGGAAGGGGAAAATAAAGAGGGAAAATTGGTAGTCATTGCCTCATTGATGGGTTAACTGGGTATTTGACCTGTTGGTTACTCAAGTATGAAAACGAGACTCATTTCTGTTGTGTGTAGGACCTCCTTGACTCAGCAGGATCATTCTTGGGAGTGGGAAAATGAAATGTAGAGTGTCAGGCAAAGGACTTGATATCTAAGTCTAGAGAAGCCTGCAGAAACTCTCTGTATGCCAGTCTGTCCTAACCTGTACACACACACAGACACACACACAGACTCACACGCACTCACACCAACTTCACTGACTTCTGGAATCTGCCACCTCTCTGCTTCCCAGTTCATTTCAGCATCATCTCCAGCAAGAGCTGAGGATAGCAATTTCTTCTAGCTTGAGAAATAAAACCAAGATGGAGAGAGGAGTTAAATACCAGGACCCTAGAAGCTAGATGTCATTAGGTGCCTGATATTCAATGTCAATAAACAATACATACCACAGGACAGCCTGGACATGTATTCCCATTTTCACAGGACCTTTGCCTTGAGTGAATTCCTCCACCACAGTTCACACTACATTTATTCCAAGGACCCCATGAAGACCAAAAAATTGGCAATGGACATGGACTGTTCTCATTACAGAATCTGAAAGGAGAAAGCACATTATTCAAAAAACATCCATGTAAGCACAACTCAAGGATAAAATGATGACGGATGCAAAGCTAGATGGCACACTGCATTTGAGTGCACTTACTGCATGCACAGAAAGCTAGCAGAAGGCTCACACAAGTCAGATTAGCAATATTCCTGTTCATGACAGAGAACTGTATCCTCTATACTGATGGAGGAGTGGTTGGCCAGGCTAACCACTAAGACAGCTAGAATCATAAAATCAGAGAATCCTAGAAGTTGGAAGGGACCTCTAAAAGTCATCTAGTCCAACTCCTCTGCAATGAACACGGACACCAACGGCCAGATCCAGCCTCACCTTGAAAGTCTCCAGGGAGGAGGCTTAACTAACAGGAGGTCAACCCAACATTGATCTGTCACCACTGGCAGGTGCTAAACACTTGGCAATCTTCTTATCTCATGATTTGGCCCTCACTGTTATTTGGTCCCTAAGAAACTAGTGTTGTAACTGGAGCTGAACTGGAAGATACATGCATATAAAAGCAGGTCCTGAATTAACGTTGTTTCATGTTCTCTTTAGAAAAGGTAACTTCAATTTTGTTCAGCTTTTTAATCAATATTGTTCTCAAATTGAATCACACAGGACTGTAATTGACTCAGATGTAGTCCTTAAAACCCAAAAAGGACCATTCTGAATGGCCACATATCAAACCAAACATTAAAATGTCCCAAATAAGGGAAGTTAAATGAATTGCCCTTTGTATTCTGAGAAATGCAGAGAGATCTGTCTTAAGTGACCACTCAAGGGACAAGCAACAGTCTACTGCCAAGCAGAGGTGGCCTTTAATGAAATGTCAAAGCTGGAAACCAATCTGGATGCCTTGAAGCATGTGTTTAAGGAGGGGCTGGGCTTGAAGAAACAAAATAGTGCAGATAGCTCTGAAAGTTAAAAAAGCATTGTTTTTAATTGATTTTGCATGAAATTTGCTTAGTTCAGATGGGAAAAAAGATGATTTTTTTTTTAATGCCACACCCTGCAAAAACTCAACTCTGAATCTGTCTTGAGATGAAACTGGCAATGAAAGCTGCACATATTCAACTGCTTCCTTGGGGACAGGTCAGAACAGTGTACCTTTGTATAGGTCCTAACTGCTGACAGCAGACACAGCTTCTCCTTTCACTGAGGAGGCATCAGTCCCTGATGTTCAAGGAACAATGCAAGAGAGAGGCCATATGTGAGTAACCTCATCCCTCCTTGGCCATGAAATTCCTTCTGCTCTGTATATTCAGCCTTATTCTGCGTTCAAAGAAGATCCACCATTTTCAGCTGCCAACATTATAACCACAGAAGTGAACACACAGTGTTGTTAACATCTCTTACCTCTCTTCCCTGCTCTGTCCAACACAGACCCTGCCCCCATACCGTGGAGCAGGGTTGCTGCAGGACCGCTGGCGGACTTGAAAGCCTATCCCACAGGAGGTGCTACAGGGGGCCCAGGAAGACCAGGGTGTCCAAGCGCCATTTCTAATTAAAAGTGTGAGAGAGAAGAGATTATGGAGGTTGTCTAATAGTCTCCCCATGCTTAACAGTCAAACACATAAGGCACTGATGAGAGACTGCTTAAACTGAAGAAATTTTCATAACAATCAGACCACAGCAGTTGAGATTTATAAAAGGGACTCTCAAGATTGTTCAGCATTAGCCTTACTTCCCTGCCACTGAAGTGTCTAAGAATGGGACAGGAAGAGAATGAAGCCAACATTGAATGATTTTGAAAATGCCTCTTAGGATTTTCTGGACAACATTGTGGATGCTACAACTTCCACTGCCTATTCCCACATCATCTTCCCCATGTCTCTCTTTTCTGAGCCAATTGATGATCCCAAAGTTGTATTTCCTGGACTCTTTGACTCCTATGCAAAGGGTGCAGGTTTTGAGGCTCACCAATGCCAGTTGTGCCAAAAAAAAAATTATCCTCTGCTAATTCAGAAGACACTGATGCTTTAAATCTCTTAGAACAAAATTGCTACCAGCTCCAATGATTTTCTCACAAGCTTCATAATATTTGGTGTTTTCCTAAAGCCTTTGGCATTGAATTCTATTAGGTGGAAATCTCAAACTTCATAAAAAATAACAATAATTGCTTCTGGCTTTCATGGGAGCTTGAAAAATCACTGTAGTGTGACCTTAAATCTGTACAAACCAGGAGGCAAGTAAGAGCTCAGAGGCAGGATTGAGTTTCAGGTTAACAAATGATTGCATCTCAAATGAGAAGTGGTAACTGAGCCTGAAGCAAATTTGACGTGAAAATCCTGAGTTCACACCTCACAACAGAGATGCCAGAGCATGTGCATGTGGCCAGCTTCTCTGAGGCTGCTGCCTGCAGTAACTCCACCACATACTCACATGGAAGTTGACATTTTCATCTTTAAAATCTCCTGATTATTAAAGCTTGCCTTGGTCTGATTTGGCAGGACTACTAAACGTTAGAGCTTCACCAAGGCAAGAGAGGAGGAACCACATTCTGTCTTCTGTGCTGCAGGTTTCATTTCATTTGGAGCCAGTGGCAATGCTCTGTCTTGCAGAACTGCCTCATCTTGACACTTCACTGCCTTAAGTAAAAAAAATCTTCTCTTTCCCCTGTAGAAAAACCTTTCTAAGAAGTCTAGTCAAAAAACAACTCAGGTGCTTCTCTGGTTCTTGAAAGCTAAGCTTGAAAACAGATGTTAATTTTCAAAGCATTTGTTGAGCTAAAAACACTGCTGGCAAGAAATATTTTCTGGCATAGCACCAATCAGGGCAGAGGATGAAAGTTAAAATCCACGTTGCCCTTCACACTTTTTGTATTTGTTATCAATTCTTGCCAGTTCTTGGCAGCTTTATTTCAGAACCCTGATAGATATTTCTCCCCTCCTCCTCTTGCTCTCGTATCCCCCTTCCTTCTTCGCTTTGCCTCTCCCACCTCAAACAGGGTCACAGAACAAGAAATTCACTTACATAAAAATGCTACTCTTCCAAGTTATTCTTCCATGTTTTAAATGACCTACTACCTCCCTAGTCCTTAACTCAAAACAAAGATTATATGGTAAAACATGAAAAGACAAAATCAAATGGAAGGCTGCTGCTATTGTGGGGAAAAAAAAAAAAAAAAAAAAAAAAGCAATCTTGTCTAAAAATTCCTCAGAACAACAATTCTCAGTATCGGTGTTTGAGGGTTTTTAACAGAAAGACACTTCCCATTTTCAGATTTCTAATAGAACTCATCTTTAGCCATCCTGCTTCCTCCTTGCAAAAAGAAATCTCAATGCCATATGAAGTCAATTAAAGGAAATTTGAAGGCTGAGGCGGATGCAGGATGACCAGATGTCCTTATTTTTCAAACCATGCTGTTTTCCTGTGTCTTAAGATTGAATAATTTATTTTTCATCCTCTTCTCAGAAGCTGTTCCTGCCTCTTTTGCCATCAAAGCACTGCTGAGAAACCCATCCCTCTGGTGTAATTTGCCTTTGCCAGTGACATGAACAGGCAGCACAGAGGTAGGAATGACTATACATCTTTTAGGCAGCACAGCCCACAACTGGAAGGAGAGATGCCAAATCAAATATGAGTATTGATGAATTTTTGGTGCCAAGATCAGCACTGCTCTGTAGGGAGGAGCCAAGAGACAGCTGTCTTTAATGGCATCAACATTTATAAGGAAGATAAAGTAGATAAAAAACAGAACTGACCCAATATTTACCAAAATATTGGCTGGCACCATCCTGCTTAAGCAGTATTTACCCTAGTGTGTCATCTTTCCTTCGGTCATGACATGATATAGTCCAAGGGTGATGGGGTAGCATGGACACAAACATGGCAGCTATGTCTAGGCACCCCACCAGAGGACATTTAGCTTCCATACTGCTAAAGTATGAGCTCCAGACTTCCCTAAGAAGATGGCATGGGCATAAGATGAGCTGCATGTTGTTTATGGGACGTGTCCAGTAAGTGTGCCTCCTAGGTGCAGCTGGCTGCCAGGATGGCATTCTGCAGGCAGCACGCGGGAAATGAGTAATGCAGGCAAACCTTGCTTACAGCCATATTAGATCCTGTCTCTTCAAGCACTGGTCTGCAGGAGCTCTGTTGCAAAACACACAACCTCAGAATTCAGACTTCGCAAAATAATGACTGAGTGCTTACTGATGTATTTTAGCTTATTACTATTCAGTTGGATAACATCTACCTCTACTTTACTCATCTCTGATGAGTCACTACTTACATACACTTGAGGGAAACTGAGGCTTAGTATAGGCAAGGTTAATGTTAACTTTGATTGGAGTGCTCATATTCCAAGGTCCCTGTCTGAGACACACAAAAGTGCCAGGATCCCTTTGCTCTAATCTCAGTCTGGGTCTCACATACATTCTGTTGGCTGGGATACATCATGGTCACAGAAACAAAAGGAAAGAGATAAGCTGTGAACAGCCACAACTATTGCTCCCTTCCAAAAACGCACAGAGATGCTGACATGCCTTGAACAATTTGCGACCTCGATCCTGGCCCCTTCACAGCTGCGACCTCCACAGCGAGGACGAGGGCTGTCACATGAACGTGACCTACACATACAGGAGCCTGTGCTGTCCCCATCTGAATGCTCACACAGTTGCCATGGGGACCAAGGCCCCAGTCTTCCATTTGTTGTCAGGTTTTTCACCTAGTTTTAGGGAAAAAAAAAAAGAGGAAAAAAAAAAAGGTCATTACTAGCAAAGTTTACATTTCTGGAGATATCCCCACAATAGAAATGCCAAACAAAGCTGCTGGGGGAATTAAGATGTAGCTCAGATAGGAGCTGTCTGTGCTTGTGAGTAGGATTCAAAACAGAGGGTTGTTTTCAGGCCATGCCGCATCAGTGTTTACCTCCAAATTCCACCCCACATACCTAACATGTGCACACAGGCACCCAACCAGCCCTACCATGCAGCACCCGCCTGCAGGCCACCTGCTTGTAGGTCCCATGCAGCACAGCTTCAGCCTTCTGAGCAACGCATGGCCAGCACTTGCTGTTCCCTTTCTGTGATGCTTCTGCCTTTGAAGTGCTCGGGGCTGCTGGTATAATCACATCTACAGGCTCAGACTGAGGCCTTCCTGACTTTGGCCCCATCGAAACACCACTGTAAGAATGGCCTTACACATCATGGTAGCAACCATAAGGTTATGCATCCCCTTCTCTCCCCATCCTACAGGCACTGTCCCAAGCTGATGTGTAAGATGCAAGATCACAGAATGCTGGAGTGAAGCAAATGGTTCTTTCAGAATGGTAAACACTCCCCTGGTTTCCCTAAAGCCTCACTGCATGCCAGGGGGCACGAGATTTGGATGCAACAAGCAGCTGAGTTCTCACAACTGTGACACTTTAGGGAACTTGATCCAGCATCTGCAGCTTTGTACTAACCCCAGTGCTGCTTCTTTAGAAGGTAAGAACTACAGAATCACAGAATGATTAAGGTTGGAAAGACTACTACAGTCATCTAGTCCAACCATCCATCTACTACCACCACACCACTAAATCACAGCTATCTTCTTCTTAAAAATCTCCTGAGACATTGACTCTACCACCTGTCTGTGCAGCCTGCTCCAACACCCCTCCATCCTTTCTGAGAAGAGATGTTTCCTAATATCCAACCTAGTGGCTGGTGGGATGCTCAGCAGCTTTGATAAACCCATTGGCACAGGCAACACAGGCCTTGGCCTCAGTGTTGCACACAAGAAGAAGTGAAGAGGAGGCTGCATCCCTGGCTTATGGCCCTGGTCCCAAATATGAGCCAGCTACCACTGCCAAACCGCACTGTGCCACGTTCAGCTGAGCTCTGTAGGCAGCAGGATCAATCTCCTGGAATGCCCTGTAGGGAAGTCATTTCTCCAAACCAAGGCATGGTGAGGCTGTGAGCGTTCTCAGACAACTGTGGCCACAAAGCAGGGCATTCAAACACTCATCCTCTTAAACACACTGCTCTGGGCTTCAAGCCTGGCACGGTGTTAAACACTCACAGTGCACCTCTGGTGGACTGCAGTCTTCCCCTCTTGCTCATCTGCAGCAGCATCAAAAATACACAGCAGTGACACAGAAGTAATATAGATCTGATACTGTGCTTTTCAGGCAGCAGTTGGGGAGAATCAAGCATCTGTTGCAAACCTTTGTTTGCAGTAGATTACCATGCTGTTATAAAAATTTGCTCTGGGCTGCAGGTTACAAGGCAAGACGCCCAGAGAAAAGAACATTGAGCCTTGTTGTTGTTTTTTGAGTTTGTTTTAAACATGAGCACAGTCAAAAACCCAGTTGGGTTGCTAAAAATCAGGGAGAAAAAAAATCGAAAGAGCTACTTTGAGATATTTAATACTAGACTTTTATCTCCTTTTCCCTCCTGCCTTACAAAAGTCATAATCCAAGTACTGGATCATTCCTATTCGTTTTTGAGCCAGAAAGCCTTGCTGATTCCAGCAGGGAGCTCTGTTCAGAGATCAGTGGTATGATATGGCCCGTGGCTTCAATTAAAAAAAAAAAAAACTGACAAATAATTATTGGCTCATAAGTGATACTGGGAAGCAGCCCAAAAATTAAACAAATAAGCAGCCATAGTTGAAATATTGGGATTTATAAACATGTCACGTTGTGAGTGTGGGAAGGCTCTTTTTACTTATGAAATTACATATGGATTATTATTCCATCTTTAAACTTATAAAAATATCTTCAAAAGAGCAAACATGGGAAGTAGGATAAGAACTCATGGGCACTGATCTTTTTCAGGAATATCTTCCCAAGACAAATCCTTTGCAGCCAACAGCATCCTTCACACAGAGATGACATCTTTAAAACATCTGTTATCAAATGGCCATCACTTATCTGATGCTTCTCAGTCCAGAGATCTCATATTTGCTAAACTGACATACTCCCACCAAAGCTGTCACCATTTCCAACCAAGGGTTGACGGTTGGACTAGATGATCTCAGTGGTCTTTCCCAACCTTAATGATTCTATAATTCTATGACTTCATTTCCCATATACAGGAGCAAATGCAGGATATAAAAATTCAAACTACCACTCCTACTTCTTTCTTCCAGGGCATTTTCAGTGTTTATTCTGATGTTACAGATAAGGCCAGAAGCATTTCTTGTCCTTTTAATATATCAGTACCTTTTCTTAGGATTCAAATGTCACCTGCTTATAGCTTTATCAAGCTTTGATTATTTCAGCTGGAGTTTTCCATTTTGGCTATCTGATAGGTGGTGAAATTTTTTTCAAAGTTTCAGTCAAAATATTTCAATCATTTCTAAAACCAAACCTAGGAGAAAAGAATGTTTGTCCTCCATAAATAGCAACATTTTCCTTGCAACAAGTGAGTGTTCAGAACAAGAAACTGAACTTTTTTCCCTGGAAAACTTTTTCCCAGTCTCCATAAAATGTCACTCAAATATGTCTGGAGAATAAAGTCCTTGGGAAGTGGGAAGGAAAAGTCTCAGTTTTCAGAGACTCATTATAGATTTTGATTTTGGTTCTTGAAGCCCCTTGGTGTGTGCTGGAGGAGGGTAACTGGGCACTACAGCTGAGTGGCTGCACAGAAATCAAGAGGAAGGTATAAATTTGGTAATCAGATCAAAAAGAAATTGGGAATAGATGAGCAAGAAAATGGTGTAGCATGTTTGACATTGCAACCACAGCAATGCACCTATAGCATGTTCTGGGTGCTACTTGTTAGTAATAAATGTTAAACATTGCACAGGGTACTATGTTAAAAAAACTATATGATTAACCCCATATCTAAGATCTCTTGTTAGATCTGCTTATTGGGAATTTGAGGCAGTGCTGTAAAAGACGTGCAGACCAGCTCTGAACAAGCATGCTTGCTCAAGAGCAACAGTCAAGTCATCTTAGGGTGTTAGTTGACTCACAAAGGCCTAGTCCCTCTAGGATGTGATTGAGTGACATGCCAATTCTGGATTTAAAAGTTCCTGTGTGCCACACTCTCAGCTGTGCCAGGACATCTGTTTGCGGGCAAGGCTGCAGAAGAACTTACTGACAAGATCTGGGTTAGGAAAAGTTTATTTGGGAGGGGTGCTTTTAATCTACACTCTGTCACACTGGAGTGTGATCTCACTTACAGCTGTACCAGCACAGCTGAGTGCCTGGTGCTCAGCCCAGACAAGTAGGGTGAGAAAAAAACAGGACTTCTTTAGATGGTAACTCATCAAACTGAAGTCCCAGTGACATCTGGCACCATGCTGCTACATTCCCCTTCCTTTCCAGTGGTGATCTGCACATGCTGCCCTAGACTCTTGCATCTGTTGATCACGATCTTTTTAGTGCTCTGAACATGAAAAACATACTTGGACACAGCTGATGGAGGTGCTTAGATGAGCAAGCCAGAGGTAATTCATTCCAGCAAGTGACAAAGGAGAAAGAAAAAGAAAACAATTGCGTGTGGGTTTTAAGGGCTTGGCAGCCTATCAGCGGAAGAGCAAGAGCTCATGTATGCAGCAGAACGAGAGCACCTAAGTGGAAAATAATCTACAAGAGACAAGGTAAAACAAATGTAAAACTAACACCCCAAGAACAGCCAAAGCTGAATATTCTGTGCTGGATTTTTATGACCTTGAAACAAAGATCTGGAAGCGGCCTGTTTCCTAATGTGCACCACAGCAGACATGTTCAAACTAGAGGATTAACACCTCACACACCTATCAACAGACACAGGCATTAAGCAGGACAAGATAACAGCATGGGCAATCAAGAAGCACTGCATCCCAGTTCAACACAGGAGGGTTATAAACACACAAGCCTCTGAATCCAGCAGTGAAAAACTTAAGCCTGCCAAGCTGAGGATGGATTGAAGTAATGACTAATATTTCCTGGGAAAATATCTGAGAAGTAAGGAAGATAAGGGGAATAAACATCACAGTAGCTCCAGTCATAAATAGCACACTGAAGATATAACCCATCAGCCCCCTTTTTCTGTCAACTGGACTTAGCAGTACTAACATACTAATTGATGTTAGATAATAAAGGTAGACATTAATGAGAATTTCTCCTCCTCCACACTCTTACAACTTATTAAATAAGACTAGTTTTCCTTCTCAATCACCTTTGCAGGTACAGTTCAAGCAGCAGGAATTAAATTTGGCCAGACATCTTCTGGGGAGCACAGCCAGGAACTGGATGCTCAAATCAGAAAAAAGTGAGTGTGCGGGTAGTAAGAGAGCCAGAGAATCACACTGATTGATAAAGTCATTTTCTTTTAACTGCTGCATCTCATGGAGAGCAGGGTAAGGAAAAAAGACCATATCCATGAAAATCACATAGGTTTGGTCTTTGGTCTGCTAAATTTGAAGTTATAACTGAACTCTCTCGTATTCTCTTATATAGAATCTCTCTTTCCCTCCTGTTCTCTAATAAATACATATCTTTTTGTTCCCCCTACAGACCTTCCATGATTGGTGTTTCTCTGCTGCTCCTAAGATCATCTAGTCCAACCATCAACTCATCACCACCATATCATCCTGTGGGCCCTGGCTCAGGGATTCAAGAGGAAAATGAACCGAATGCTGTCCTGGGACACTGGTTGTCACCTAACTCTGACTTCCCTAACAGGTAGGGAAGCCCAAGAGATGGTGCAGACAGTAGGGCAGCCCTGAGGCAGCTCGAGTTTCATGTAGGGCTTACATGGGTCTCGGTGGGGACCCAACAGCATGATCCAACCTGTTCCACTCAACGCAAAGGTGGGTATGACAGGCGTTGAAAGCTTGCTTTGGGATCCCCTCTCTGGAGTAAAAAAAAGTAAAAAGGGTTTCTCTGTGTTCTCAACAAGTGTCTGTGCACAGATATTAGAGAAAGTATGTGCCACTGGAGTCTGTATGCTTTAAATACAGCCAGTCTCACTCAGGCTGCCACACACTCACTTGCTCTATTGCTTCTACACACATGCATATACTCATACACCCACATACATACAAAATATTTCCACTTACTGGGCACTCAGTAATATTTTGAGTCCACAAGCTCATGTTGGAGCTGTCCTCAATGGTGGTGCATCGCTTCTGCTTGTTATCCCAGCCACAGTAAGGGTCTCTGGCTCCTAGGCATTCCCTGCATGTGCAAAGAAAAAGATTAAAGCTGTGAGACTGTCTAGCTTTAAAGAAATGTATTTGAGTATAGTGCTTGTGTATGACAGCTGTCAAGTCCACCAGGGCTCAGCAGAAGAAAAAATTTTTCTAAGCAGAGGTTTACCTGCTTGGAAGGGGAGAATGGCTGAACAGAAGGGTGACAGGACACAAAGCAAATATCACTCACAGAAGCTGCAAATGAAAAATCAGTTCACTCCTTTCCAAGGCTTAGGGAAAGAAAATAACTTTACAAATTTTAGTCAAAGAACCTTGTCATTGAGATATCTTTGTGCTTCCATGTAATCACTCAGCAGGCCAAATCTCACACAAAGCAACCTCTGTGAGTATGTTTTCTGACACTGTGTCCATCCAAAGGGGTTAGACAAGCAGAATTAGCCAATGCAGCACTAATAAAGGCTTTCTATTAGTGCTGGCATTTGCTGGCACAATGGTTTCATTTATAATCCCAACATCAAGATGTCAGTTTGGAGAAGTCACAGCAGAACATTATTTCTAAGCTTTTGGCTGCTTTGAACACTGCTTTATTCATTTTCTTCCTGAATCCATATTTACAGGCTAAGTGTGTGTTCCCAACATGTGAGCTCCTAAAGAAAAATAACCAGGATTCCTACTGCCACTGACCAGAGAAAGTCAATCACAGAATTAGTCTGTACCAATAAAATTCATCTGTATTGGCTGTTCCCATTAGTTGCTTTCAAATTGTTAATTTTCATTAAGAGAATACAAGCCACATTGTGCACGTGTTAGGGAAAGACAAAGAAGAAACAACTAACCTCCAAAAGATTTGCAATACTGTTTTTTATTCCAATGATCCATTCTCTTCTATCACACAAAAGGGCTGCCAGGATCTCTCCAAAAGTCCCAAATGATTTGAAAGCTGCCAATTAGGCAGCAGCAAGGGACCAAGAGTGAAAATTCAGTTTAAAAACGAAACAGGAGAGTAATAACATTTATTCTAAGGGTTGGTATCAGTATGATAAATGAAACATCAAAAAAAAAAAAAAAAAAAAAAAAAAAAAAAAAAAAAAAAAGAGAAGTGAATTGTTCCCTCCCAGAAATCTTTGAAATCCTATTAGTCTGCAATCAGCCACAAATGAAAAACCATGTTCCCTAAGCACAGCTGAAAATGCTCTATCAGCTTTTACTGACTCCACAGCCATTTGCCCCAAAGCAAACCCTGGATTGTTTTGCTGGCTGGCACCCCTTCCTTTATAGACGTATGTATGCACTATATATATGCATATATGCACATGTATGTATTTATGTTTTAATAATGAGTTTCCACTTTTCTCTGACATTGCAGAAAGACATTTCCTCTACTTAAGATTTCACATCCTGAGTGGTAAGGAGCAAAACTTTGTCTTTCTTGATTTAGGAAGGTAGTTACAAGGACTGTCTACATCATTTTTCCTCCAGCTGCTTCAAAACAACCAAGGAAAAGGCATAGATGATTTTGTCCCAGCCCCAGGCAACAGAACATCAAATATTTGCTTAGAAAAGACTCAGTATCCCCAGTCCAAGGACACAGAAGAGACACATGCTGCTTTGCTTTATTCTGGCTAGGCACCCCGATCCTACTGTCCAGCATCCCACACTACCCCATGCATGCAGTGGGGCTGCCTCCATCCCCAGATCTGCCCTGGCCATCCACAGCCCCTCACAAGAGACTGAGCAGCAGCACCTGCCCAGGTAACAGCACTTCAGCTATGAGCTTATCTCTAGAGAGAGAAAAATAATAAGAGAAGCAACGGGGGGAAAAAAATAAGGGGAGAAGAAAGCCCCTGATTTTAGTTACAAAGGCTTTGGTCATGCTTTCAGACCTGACACTGAGTACAAGCTATTGTTTCCGATGACATGAAGCCATTTTGCTGGGCACCCGGCGAGCAGAGAGAGGTCATTGTAATTCATAACAGGGAAGGCTGTTGTGAGTGTCACCCTATTATGATACACATTTTCTCTGAATTTAATTTATAGGAAAACATGTGCTGCATAAATTCAGGAAATAATCTCCATATGTTCTGAGCTGCAGCCCTCAGCCACTCCGCAGGCTGCAGTATATCCCGGTTAGGCACTGACCACTTTGCTGGCACTATTTGTAATGTGTGTCATGCAGCTAATGTGCTGCTACCAGCTGAGAGCAGCGAGCTGAGGGTCCCTGATGGAGCACTGGGGTGGCCAGCTTTGCTCTGTCCCCAGCTGATGGGCACAGTGAGATGGCCACGATGCCCAGCTGTGGCAAAAGCCTTCTGCTGGTAACAGGGAGCTACAGCTGCCTATGTGCCCTGGCTCCTGGATGTAATGCATCCTTACCCCGCTGCTGTTGCCATCTGGGCAGGGCCTGGGCTCTGCTGGGCTGTCAGAATGCACACTCTGTAATTTAAGAGCCATCAAAGACCGGGACTTCTTCCCATCTGACGGCAGGCCCTCAAAACCATTTGAAATCTAAAAACAAAATAGCTATGCTGTCTGCCTCCCTTCAGGATTCAGAGCCCACTCTGCTGCCTCAACTCTGGTAAGAAACCTATTATATCAGCTGACAGCGGTGCACTTAGGGGTGAGGAGGAATGTTATTTACTTACACACAATTTGCTCCATTTTTTTTCCTTTTGCAAGCACAAAAAGCATTACAATGCACATTACTGCAAGAGAATATTTCTGGCAAGTACTTCAAGTGAACACCTCAAAATCCACCCTAATTTATATCTTTACAGTATCTTTAGAATATATGTCCCCACTTATGTCATTAAGAGAGAAAACCACACCAGCAAGCACACAGCAAAAGGCATACATATGTATGCATGCATGAACGCACAGATCAAAATGCTTCAGAAATGTGTTGTCATTCTTAGCAAATCGGGCACTGCGGTGTGGAAAATGGAAAGATATCATAGCATTTCCCCACGCGCAGAACACAAAATAAATTGAAATGTTTATGTGTAAATCTCATTTCATATTATGATACTGTCGAAAAGCCTCACGCAAGCCTGGGGAACCAAGGCCACGCAAGGCACTATGTAAATACTGTGAAATAAGATAGAAGGAAGTTAACATGCCATAATGAAATTCTGATGTTTCAAAGTCAATGGGACTTTGGACATTGGCTCAGCAGGGCCAGAATTTCACACCATACACACATGCACTCTGTGACTATTCACTGGCAGGCTAGGAACACCTTGAGGGATTCATGACACGGTATCACTTCCCATCATTATTTACACAGGTAGAGGGAACCCATTGTCCCAAAAGACAACCCAAGCATAATGGGTTGCCACTGGCTATATTAATGCTAATGACTTATGTAATGAAGTCCCAAAAAGTGAGATGTCTATGGAAGAGAGATGTTGGTGATACCACATGGTTCATGCCCCCAGTTTATCTCTGACCATCTTTCTGACTGTGGTACATTCAGTGAGGACTCAGGAGAATACCTCTTGATGGATATCTAAGAGGCCGGATTTATTATGACAGAGCATTACTATCAATAGCGATTCACTTTAATTCATTGCCTTGCAGTAAATGTCTTATCTGAGGCATAATGGCATACACTAAAAATGCTCAATTGAAAAACAATTCCATTTGTGTCTCCTATTCAAGGTATTTTTTCTCTGGTTTCTTATTCTCACTTACTGAAGACATTTGCATGAAAATAAGATCTTACTCATAAGAGCTCACCTGCTGCCTGCTGTCTGGGAGCTGTAAGGCTCCCTGTTGTTGGCTATTGCAATCATTTTTACAGCCGTCATCTGGGATAACACAAAGGATTAAGACTCTACAATTGGAACAGTATCCAAAGTGCTCTGAAGTCAATGGAAACTCCTAGCTATGACTCAGAAGAGTTTTTACAGTGCCTCTGAAGCCTGGCTTGCTGAGCCTTCATTAACAACATTCGCTGTAAAAAGGTTTCTGCTTGCAGTGTGTCGGTCCTGCCTAGCATCTCCTCAGCAGAGTCACAGGATTGTGATGTGGAAAAGGAGAAAGTATCTCCCTCTCTCACACCCCTGCTCATGCCCTGTCCTGTGTCCTAACCCCACCTCTGCTCTCCATTCCAGATGTGTGGCACTTCTGCAGCAGTCCTCTTCAAGAGGGCTGGATTTGTCTAAAGAACACAATAATGATGGATCAGTGAGCACACCTCCTTCCTAAAAAGAACAACTGCTCCAAGGTGCATTGCAAAGTGACAGCAGATTTCTCATATTCTAAATAATACAAGGATTTGGAGACTTTTTAATAGCCTGAATTACATCTTCTTTCAAAATCTTCATTAAAGCTTTAAAGCCTGTAGTTCTAAAGTTTCTCATTCCCACTTTAATTTGCTCGGGGTCTGGATAACTTCATCTTTTGGTTGTTCTCACCTGTGAGCTAAAAAGCTTTAGACTGTGTAATAAATGGATCATTGAATCAATAGAACCAGACCCAAGAGATTAGTTTTCAGCAGACCAAAGGAAAGAAAGAATTACTGGAGCCTCTTCCCATTCTTACTACCAGACGGAAGATAGCAAACAAGCCTGTTCATACCAAAAAACAAGAAGACATCATCCAGAGCACTCACTCACACTAAAGGATTGTGCTCTTCTCATCTTTCAGGATGTGCTTGCTCTCCAACATTTTTTTTCCCCTCTTTGCATGTATCTCTTTCTCATTATTTTTGACTTCTAAGAATTTCACATTGGTTTGTTCTACTCTTTGAGCAGGTATCTCTGAGAAAGCAGCACTTTGCAAGCAGTACGTGGGTATTAGCTCTGTCTGTTAGTTGCTGGCATGTGGCTGTATTTGTAGACAGGCATTTCCTGACAAGGTTAGCTTTCTGTCCCATTGCAATCAACATGTGGAAGGGATGAACTAAACAATCATATTAGCTTCCAGCCAACCAAATCATAATTACTGACAACCTCAATAGTCTGTGCAAGGGAGAGTGGACTTCTATCTTCCTTAAGCCCAGATGGCATGAAAAGAGAAGAATAA